AAGATTTTAAAAGACTGGGGGCATATTGGGATTTTAATTATATGAAATCATATATGACCAATATTAAAGTATATATGACCAATCATGAATATAGAACGCATAGATGGACAATAGTTTAATTATTTGTCCTTTATTTCCAATTTTCCCAAAAATAAAAGTTTACCAATAGAATGAAGTTAAAACAACGGTGGTGTGTGAAAAAAAAATTAGTTTGCTTGGTGAAAAAATATGAGACAATTTATATTTTATATAAAGGTGATTATTTACAATTTTTTTTATAGGAATACTAACTTATTGTATAATTTCCTTAATCCTTTTTCTATTTTTAATTTTTTTTTCTTGTATAATTAGTAACTTATAAATAAAATGTTTAGCATAATTTTGTAGTTTCGATTTTTATGGTAAATATACATATAATTTCTTTATATATACGTATAGTTTTCTTACTATGATCTAACTGTTTAAATTTATAATTTCGTTATAATAAAAATTGTTAAAAACTTCAAAACAATACTTTATATAATAAGATAACTAGCTTAGACTTAAATAACTAATTGGTGAAGAGCAAGTCTTCTACAGAAAACTTAGTAGATAAGTTAACTAAGGAAACTAAAAAATAATCTAAATTATAAAAAAAAATGGAGTACTGAAAGATAGGGTGTGAGCTAATATAAGGTGAATAGAGACTAGATTTCCAAAGAAGACGAGTAAATCATAAAAGATTACGAGAGAAATTGTAGTGAAAAATATGAGAAATGTTTTACTATTTTGGAAACATTGTATTTTTTTTTTTGTCAATCACACATTAATTAACAAATAACTCCTTGATTGGTTGCCCAATTAGGAGGAGAAGAGTTTACAAAAGTAACTTAAGAAAATAAAAGTCTAGAAGAACGGGCTAAACAGTCCGCTTGAACATTACATAAACGAGAAATAAGATAAAGCGAGAAGAAAGGGAAAGAGAAAGCGAGAAGAAAGGGAAACATTGTATTTTTTAAAATTCAAATAATTATATTTATGTTCAAAAATTCTCATTAATAATATTTTTATATTAAAATCCCGCATAATAAAAAAAAAATAGAGCAACGAATTACTCCTATAATCTAGGTGACTATTTCAAAAGACTAATTCAAAAACCAAAACCCAACAAGCACAAACTTATTCTCTTGAGTATATTTATATACTACAAGTCGTAAAACCTAAGGAAAACAAAATATTAAAGATACATGGAAGAAATGGGAACTCAAGATGGCCAAAAACCCTCACCGGATTCTGATTTGTATAGACTTTATTTCAAGTGTTTGATAAGGGAGGAAACAAGAGGGTTTGTGCAAAATCTCTCACTATTTACCGGTAAGATTTCACATAAAAAGGGAAGTCAATAACTTAGAAATAAACAACAACAATATGCATGGTAATATTTTCTCTGAAGAAGAAGACGGTGGTTCGATCTATGCCATCTAAATCGACGAAGAAAGTGAACATAGAATATGAGCAACCTATTGAAGATTAACAACATTACATACATAATGATGCAATAACATAAATCATATCTGCCAAAGTATATTATTTGGTCCCCAAGTCTAATATCTCAACGGCAAGTTTTGTCTATGATCAAAAAATAGATAACAGCAAATTGGGCTTTAATTTCATAAGACGCGGCCCAATATTACAACGTGTTCATCAACAACTCTATTGTACAAACAGACTACGTCGTTCTCTTCCACTCATCTGAAAAAAAAAAAAAATCACAGCAAAAAAATCCAATTCTCTCTTCCTCCCTCCAGATTCAAACGATCCGATCCAAAGTTCTTAGATCCGAGAAGATGTCTACGTTCAGCGGCGATGAAACTGCTCCCTTCTTCGGCTTCCTCGGCGCCGCCGCCGCTCTCGTCTTCTCCTGTAACCAATTCCCTTCTTTCTCATTTCAATTCTCTTCCAATTCGTATTATTCCCTTTGATCTGATCCACATGATTGCTTCTAGAGACTTTTTATGAGAATCGTTGGCCTTATTGATTGATTGATTAGTGTTCTTAGGTTTGATCAGAATCTGGATTTAGGTATTGATTTGTGATTGTGTTTGGGTCGTAAATTGAGATTTTGTTACTGGATTTGGGTTTTAGGTATGGGAGCTGCTTATGGGACTGCGAAGAGTGGTGTTGGTGTGGCTTCAATGGGAGTGATGAGACCTGAGTTGGTGATGAAGTCTATTGTTCCTGTTGTTATGGCTGGTGTTTTGGGTATTTATGGACTTATTATTGCTGTTATCATCAGTACCGGTATCAATCCTAAGGCTAAGTCTTATTACCTATTTGACGGATACGCTCACCTTTCGTCTGGTCTTGCTTGTGGTCTTGCTGGGCTATCAGCTGGTATGGCTATTGGAATTGTCGGCGATGCGGGTGTTAGGTTTGTTCCTCACAGAGAATGTTGAATTTGTTGATTGAAAACCATAATGTAGAACTTGAGTTGTTTTGGTTTTGCGATTCTCTCAGGGCAAATGCGCAGCAGCCTAAGCTCTTTGTTGGGATGATTCTTATTCTTATCTTTGCGGAAGCACTTGCTCTTTACGGCCTTATTGTAGGCATCATTTTATCTTCTCGAGCTGGTCAGTCGAGAGCAGAATGAGAGCACAAACAAATGTTAGAGTTCCAGGTACTTACTTATCGATCAACTTTTGTGTGCGGTATGTAGTATCTGGAGTCGATATTTTGTGGATTCTTGGATCTTGATTTGGGAAGCAGATCTGCCACCTACTTTCCTAGGTTGGTGGTTACTTGAGTGTAGGATGTTATTTTGTTTGGTTCGGTAATAAAAAAAGAGCTTGGCATTTGTTTTGTATTCTTGTATTGTCTGCATTTGTCTTGATGAACTTGATAATATTTTGTTTGTAAAGAAGTTTGCTTCTGATACCATCTTTGAATGTTATGAGATTAATCTTTGGTGCCTTCCTATTTGGTTTTAAGATAGCTTTTCCACTGAACAAAACATTATATAAGGAGGTGGTTAAGCAAAGTAAGCAAAATATTAAATATGTTTTTGAAAATTGTTTAATAAATTTGTGTAGACATTCTTTTTTTTTTTTGTGAAACTGTGTAGACATTCTTAAGCAATACTTTTTGCTTTTAAACTAGACCATTTTGAATTCATGTATTGGGTCATCCGGCAGTGCTTTTTCCTAGGGTTCCTCCTAAGCCAATTATCTTCTGTAATCCAATCGTTTTTGTTTTTACATCTCATCGAATCTTCTGCGTGTTCGAGATGTGTGTGCGTATCTCCTTCTCATTTTCGTTTCTTTGACGAGATTTGCTATCGATTATACAAGTAATCCATTGCTGGCGTTTAGTAAATTGAATCTCATATCTATCTATGTTCTAACTTTGATTGGGGGAGCTACTTGCTTGAAACAATAGAATATCTTAGTCAATTATCCATATATTTCTAAACCACTTAGATTGGAAGGCCGCGTAGTTGGATCCAAGTTAGGGTAAAGGCAGTTCCACTCCAATTCAAAATGGAATTGAAGTAGTTCTAGACTACCACTTCAACCACATGATGAGTATCCTCCAATTTTGGGAATATGATGCCCCTTATCTCTTATCGCTTTTACCAATTCGAATCAAAGGCACCCCACAACACTTTTGGTAGGAAGAACCGTTTGAAGTACTTAAACGTTAAATCCATGGTTGGAGGAAACGTGGATGAAATGGTTTCACTTTTCTACTAGAAACTTGAAAACAATGGAGACATAGAGTGTCCTCTATCAAAGAAAAAAGCTTTCAACATACAATCTTCAATTTCAAAAGCAAGGAAACATCTCCATAACAGAAATATTAAAAGAACTGTAAGCACGAGCACCTAGATGTCATAAACCTTGTTTACAAAAAGAAGTATCGCCCGACAACTTCGTCACTAACAGATCCTTTGGCTAACTCTTGTATTTCATGATGAACTGAGAAATCTAGAAAATTTTCAAGACCATTCTCAAGACACGGGCTGGGGATACTCTCTGTGATCGATCGTATACAAGAAAATTCATTCTAAGATTTTCCCCAATCAAGAAGATAATACTCTATATAAGCAAAGATAAAAGCCATGTAGAAAAACCTTTTTATATGTAATGAGAAATTATATTAAGCATTTAGTTCTTATTTAGGCGATGACGTTTCAAGTTTCTACTACAAGAAACAAACCATCACGCCTTTGGAACCGACCGTGTAGACATCATTCCAATGATTGCAAACCAAGGAGTGGCCAAATTTCTCTACAAAACTAAAGGAATTCTTCAGACTTATGAGTTTATTCATGAATTTTCTATTATTATATCACATGGGAAGCTATTTATAACGCTGACCATTTACTTTGTTGGTTGTTCTTTTCCAATGTGATTATCCACATTACCTCAATTTGAATAATAGAATGGTCGCTCAACGTACAAAATAAAAGAATGTATAATAGGCCTGGGCGTTCGGGTATCTGTTCGGTTCTGGTTCGGTTTCGGTTCTTTCGTTTCTAGAGTTTAGGATCCATATAGGAACCAAACAATTTTGGTTCGGTTCCGGTTCCGGTTCTTTCGGTTCTGAAGTTTAGGATCTATTCGGATAATTTCTTTCGGATATTTTTAGGTATTTTGGATATTTTAAAGTATTTTCAGATATTTTTGAGTATTGTTTTGGATATTTTAAGTATTTTATATATTTTCCAAATATTTCTTAGTATTTCGGGTATTTTTGGTTATTCGATCTAAAACTAACTAATATTTTTAGATATAAACTCATGTTTCGAATATTTTCGGGTATCCGAAATATTGCGGTTCGGTTCCAGTTCCGGTTCGGTTCTTATGGTTCGGTTATTTTGCCAAGACCTAGTGTATATATATTATAAACAACTTAATAAAGAAGAAAACGTTAACCATACTATTAGCAAGAAATAGTTTTAAAAAAAAATTAAAACTAGTCAAACAAACATACCTTTTTTAATGGATCGCCATTACAAGAACCACTAGTTATATATTTCAAGATATATAAATCCTTACTTTATATAGAAATTTTAACCATCAGAAAACAAAACGTATTTGCTTCGTAAAAGTATCACAACAATATAATGTCTTCATCACACCTTTTTATCTTTTGCATCATCCTGATTTCTTCATTTCCTCTTCATGAATGTATGGATATATTGTTTTCTTTTTGATCATCATCACCTAATCACCTTTATATAGAATCACATAGGGTGTGACTGGTAAAAAGTGGAAAAAATGAAATGAAAAATAAAAGAAGAAAAGAGAAGAAAATAAAAGCAGAAAAACAGAAGAATTTTTTCTCTCATATATTTGAAGTGGGATGAATTCTACCTTTTCACGTTGTTTTTTGAAGAATTGGAAAGAAAACAAAATCAACTGCTTTTCATCTGACTGGTTACATTTAAGTACAACACAGAAGAATTATTTTTCTTCTCATTATTTTTCTTCTATGAAAGAGTACCAGTCAGACCCATAATCATATCTTTCACAATCAGTATTTTTCAAATGATTGTATTTTGTTTTTTTTATAGGTGAAAATGGAAAAGGTGTTGAAGCGAACAATGCAGTTAAACCAGTTTGCATGTCGATGAATTGCGACAATAAAGACAGGAAACTCACGTGTGCTTGTTGTTTCAGGGCCAATTTCAGGAATAGGTGTTACAATAGCAAATCAGAATGTCTGGCTGACTGCAAAGCTTGAAAGGCATAACTTAATAATAACCTCTACTAAGGAATTAAGAAACCTATTAGCGTTTACATAATATCTAATCACTTCCATAATATGAAGAATACATGTTTATTTAGGAGTCCAACTAATACAATTTATGATTATTGTAATTGTGTTAAGTGATCGACTTTCAAATTCTACGTATCTAATTTATCTCATTTTGTTTTAATGTTCACTTTACTTATAAAATTACATTATCTTATCGGACACCATCAAATTCATTAACTACCCATATTCCACCAATTCGAATTCCACATGATTCGGTAAATGTCTTCACTAGGTGACTTGGCAACCTCCAGAACTACGAAGGCTACTCAAATCCTCATTCTTTATCTATTACAATTCTGATAACATATATGTTATTAATACAAGAACTTAGATTGTAATCTGCAGTGTCGTGCATAGTTTTAGAGAAACCTAAAGCAACTTGCAAATATGTTTCTTTTGTAATCCGTTACTTATCACTGAAATATTTATTTTTAACAAACTATGATTTAAAGCACTATAAAATCATTATAGGTAATGTTTTTCACAAATTTATAACTCCATAATATCTTCTAGTACTATATATGTAACTAAAAAACAAAAATTATGCATATTAGTATGTGTATGTAAAGATTAATAATATATATAATGATTAAAATTAAATAAAAAAATGGATACAATGTTTAACTCAAACAGAAACTTACGGTCTTACAAAAATAAAGAAAAGAAAAAAAAAATCAAGATGAAATTCATGAAAAGATTTGGTAGTTGTTGAAAGAAGCCTACTTTAATTTTGACTTTCTTGAGATACCATGTTATTAGTTATTATCTTTTAGGATTTCATCATCCTTAAGTTCTCTATCCCTTTGAATATCTAAGGGTTTATATGCATTTGTTATTTCTACTTCAGTTTACCATATTGTTTTTTCGAGGAACCTTATCATAACTCCATTCAATTCATCACAAGGTGATCATTTTCAATACGTTGCATTACACAATTTCAAGATAAGTTTTTCTTAATTAGCAACCCTAGTCGCATGCATATGTATATGCTTCCAAGATCCAAAACTATAACTTAATCATCATCCATAATCAATCAAGATCAATCATAATCAGTCCTCTAAGGTATATATTATATAGCATATATTCATACAATTTTGGTCAGCATGATTCACCAGAATTTAGTTCAGACTGAAAACAGGTAAAATAATCGGTATGGTTTGCATGTGTCATACTAATTCTAATAATACAACTTAAATATTTCTGGTGAGATGGCATCAAACTTCATAGGATAATATGTTTATGAGATTATGAGATTATAATTATTTATTTATACTATAAAAATGTTTACTATTAAAAATAAGTAGATCAGGAGGTACGTTAATTGAGGTTTTTAGAATACAACGCACACCAACGTAAAACTTCCACGTTATGCTTAATATTCATTACCAATGGAATCCAAAAGTAACAAACATCATCAAATGCTTAATATTCAAGATTTTTTTTTTTCTGACCAATATCATCTTGCATGTAAAAATAGGTACATCTTTGAAAGAACTTTTAAAATTACAAATAATACATGTCACTAATTCAATGCTCCATTTGGCTGTCCATTTTTAAAAATACCCCTTTTTATGCACAAAATGACTAAATTACCCTTCTTTTAATAAAAGATATCACAAATATATAAGGAAAACATGAGAATGTGCACACATCAAAATTACAAATTTGATTTTGTAAAAACTTGTAAAACCTTTAAAATACCTTGTAAAATTTTCCCGTAAAATTTTTTCCCGCCAAAAAATTATTTTTGCAAGAAAAGTGATTCCGCAATTTTTTTGGCGTTAAATTTTTGGCGGAAAATTTTACAAGGTATTTTAAAGGTTTTTACAGGGTATTTATAAGGTTTTACAATGTATTTTAAAAGGTTTTACAACGTATTTATAAGATATTATAAGATTTTACAAGCTATTTTATAAGGTTTAATAAGTTATAAGGTTTTACAAGTTTTTTATAAGGTTTTACAAGTTATAAATACCTTATAAAACCTTATAACTACCTTGTAAAACCTTTTAAAATACATTGTAAAACCTTACAAAACACTTGTAAATACTCTGTAAAACCTTTAAAATACCTTGTAAATTTTTCCCGCCAAAAAAATTTCGCCAAAAAAATTGCGGAATCACTTTTCCCCAAAAAAAAAAATTTTGGCGGGAAAATTGCGGGATCACGTTTCCCGCCAAAAATTTGCGGGATCACTTTTCCCGCCAAAAAATATTTTGTATTTTGTGGACCTAATTTTGTTTCAAATAAGGGTAAAATGGTCTTTAAAATTAAAAGAGGGCAAACTTAAAAATGGACTCTCAAAGGGGGCATTTTTGAAAAGGGGTATTGAAAAAGGGGCATTTTTAACAATTTCTCTTATTTATTTCAATTTTCTTTCCAATTGAAAATATGTAATAATTTAAATTAATTTTTAGTATTAATTATTTGACTTTTCTTTTTCAATTGGAAATATTTGAAGTTAATATATGTATTTTTCTTTTTTATAATATTTGTTTTACTACTTATTTGTGTATTTTTATTAATTATTTGAGTTTACTTTTTTCAATTAGAAATATGTCAAACCAATATATGTATTTTTCCTTTTTAATATTTTTTTTACTTAATTATGTTCTTTTTTGTGAATTATAAGAAATAAAAAGAAATATGTGATGATTTAAATTTACATATTTATTATTTATTTCAATTTACATTCCGATTAAAAATATATAACAATTTAAATTAATTTTTAATATATTTATTTGAGTTTTGTTTGGGTATATTGTTTGTCGTCAATTATAATTTTATTTTATATTGTTAATTTAGTTTCTTAATTCATTATTGAATCATCGAAGTTTTGTATATCATTGTGTTTATAATTTTCTATTTTATTGCTTATTTTAGTTTTATTTCCCGTTTTGATATAATTTTCATTCGAATTTTTTTTGACACAATATTTTATTGTTAAAGAAACTATGTAAAAGGGAAAGCAACAAACATATACTTACCTTAATGTGTTCATAGAGCCATCTTGTAGGACGTGGTTGTCAAGAACATACATTCACGGAAAGATATGATTGGGTGTAAAAATATATTTTTAATAATAAAGTAGATATTAGATTATAAGTAGATGTAAATAGGACGAGAATTTGATAGATGGTTTCCGTGTAAAATATTTTCTCAAAAAGTTGTGGAGTCAAATTTTAAGAGAGATTGCGAAACCACTTTTTTGAGATTTGATAATTAATGATAATGATGAATACTTGATGATTGATAATTAAAACTATTGTAACAAATATTACAATAAATTTAAAATATAGAAATGCAATGTATTAAAGAAAAAATATATATATATAAATAACTCTTTTTCTAACTAAAACTTATACGTATATATGAACAAATTTATTATACGTAATTAATGTATAATATTGTTTGAAATATGCTTTTATTATTAGTTACCATAAGTACAATCAGATTTTATTTGATTTCCATAAATATTTGATTTTATTTCGATTTTTCATTATTAATTCGAATTTATATTCCAAAAAAATTTCAAAGATCCGATTTCAGAATTTCGGGTCAATTTTCTGATTTTAACCTGACCCATTTTCATTTGTACTTCTCTTTTAATAGTATAGAGATTTATTTCTAAATATCCAAGATCTAAGGTATATATAAATTTGCGTGGAGTGAAGAAACCCTAAATCGCGTCCATCAGCCGCTCATTTGTAATAGAGAAGATGAAAAGGGAGAAGGTTGAGCGTGAGATTCCGAGGTCCGAGGTTATGGAAATACATAAGAACTGCGATGTAATCTATTCTTTCTATCTTCCTTACCTAATTGTTTTTTTTGTCAAATCGCTTCCTAATATATTTGAGCTAATAACTAACCGAGCTAATATTCTGTACATTTTCGCCAAAAACCATCCCCACAATCAGCCCCTCGCTTCCAAAGAGAAGGTGGAGAAGGAAAGTAAGAAGGTTGTAGTGCTTAACTTTGGACCTGGCTATATGAAACAACCGTGGAAATGGAGAAGCAGTGTAATATATATTCTTTCTATCTACCTTACCTAATTGTTGATTATATTTGAGCTAATAAGTAACGGGTCTTACTTAGGAAAACCAAATCCACCGGGGTATTACGTTAGTTTACGCCAATGATCATCCGCACAATCCTCGTCGTTTAATAGTCCTCCTTTATGCTAAGTTGGGCCTTCATCGTTACAATTGTGTCCATGTAAATAATTATTCTCTTTAATTTCTTTCTTATTAATTACCTATATCTATGTTGCTTTAATCTATTTCTCTCTTTTTCTATCAATCAAATGTAGGGGAAAGACTTGAAGCTCAGTAGCATATCTACATACATCAAGTCCTCGGGTGTTACTAGTGCTACCTCTTACCGCATAACTTTCGATGCCAAGGATCCTCGAGATACCAGTGGTTCCCTTCAAACTTTTCAAACTCATGTTAATGAAAGAACTTATGGCAGCTTACTTTTGTCGTGCACTATTGCTTGTCCTTTAGGTAAATATTTTTAGATATTATTCGTATAGTTTTCAAACCAACAACAAGTTATCAATCTTCGAGTTACTCTTTGTATAGGTGAAGTTACCATAGGTAGTGAAACCAAAAGAGTCAACTTGCATTCTCTCAGGCCTGAGTTGCCGCCAGAGAATCCTTTCCAAGATGATACAGACCGATTTTACGTGGTAAAATCCTTGATTTTAAGACCACTTGAGTTTTTGCTTATTATCGAACAACAACATATTTATGGTTTTTTTTCTTTTGGCAGCTGAAAAAATCAGAGGTTAAAAAAAATGACTGGATTCGTCTGTATTTGGAACTTGCAGTTGCCACAACTAAAAGGCACCATATAAAACACGGTGTGGCCAATTTGAAGATTCTGAGAGTGGCTCTGGACACTACACCAGACCCATGTCGTCCCTCTGAAAAGGGACTTCACGCCTATGATGCAATTTTCTACATTAGGTACACAGACTCATGCAAGGCTCGAGCTGGTGAGGATGGCGATCGCGTTGCTATAGTCAGAAGAATCTGGGATGAGAAGCCGCAAGTCTTTAGAATCGTGGGTCGCACTGAGAGCTTCAGATCGTTAGGGAACGGTGAATCCACCACGTCGCCTGGCTCGAAGGACGGGACAATCTGACATGATGGTTTCGATGTAAATGGTGGATCGTACTCAGAGCTCACAAACCTTGGAAGCTGGCTCGTCGTCTGCACTAGACTAGACCAATTTGAATATGTGGATCAGAATAATAAACCCATCGTTGGTTGACCAAGTTATTTGGTGCCTTAGGATTGTTATATATGTGGATTTCTTTTTGTGAAACTTTGTGTAGTTTTTAAGTGTGTTGTTCTGCTTGAATACTTTAACATTGGTCGACTAAGTTATTTGGTGCGTTCGGATTGTTAAGTGGATTGCTTTTTGTGCAATTTTGTGTTGTTTTTAAGTAGTGTGTGTTGTACACAAGAGTTTCAAATAATTCAAATCAAACCTATAAAATGCATAAATATATATATATTTTTTACTTTTTTGATTATGCAAAACATAACGGATGATGAAGTCACAAATTAAAGTTGTTGTGAGGTGTCTCCACCCAAACGATGAGGTTAGTCAAATCGATTCTTGGAGGGGGATAAGAGCTTTTCTCTTCACCGAGGGAGTAGTACATGCCATATTGCCCATACTTATCAATATACGATGAATATATTTGGAGGGGGACATGGTTTCAGTACTGGAAGAATATTCCAGGTTGCTTTAGATGGGTCAAAAACCCCAAGGTAGCCGCAGGTACTAAGACAGTAGAACATACCATTCAAAAAGATACATTTGTCCCATCTGCCATAGGTTAACTTGTGCTGAAAGCAATGGGTGATCCATACAACCTTTGGCCTTCATTATTCTTTTACACAACTGATGGTAACTAAGGCTTTACATGATACAAATGTTCTCTCCTTAGATTTCGGTTTCTTTGTGATTTCGTTTTATAGATGACATGAGGAAAATTTAAGCTAATTATTGAGTGCCAAATCAACAAAAAACAATGTGATACAAATACTAATCCAAGAGCTATTTCTCTGCAAGTAGTGGTTAATCTCAAACTCATATGTTCTGTTTTGCTCTGTTTATGTTATGCTCTGCTCTTCTCTGCTTTGGTCTGTTGTATAAAAGGATTTCAGTTTAGAACCGATCATTCCTAACATGTCTACATTGCAACTGTATAGATTTGGTAGAAATTCGGACCTTTGTCTCTCTGCTTCATGCCAAATCTAGACATTTGTCTCTCTGTTTCTTCTTACTATATATACCTATACCTTCACTCCTAAAATCAAACTAAAAAGATGGTTTATAGAAAACATAACAAAGCACAAAGAATTTTGTAGCTTCACTTGGATACAAGGTAAGTAAAACTATCAAGCAACGTGTAAATAAAATCAAGATTTTGGATCTTGATTTGTTTTATAGGATCCCCATTTTCTGCTCTGACTCTTGAGAGTTTGTTGAGATGATACCTCGCTCTCTCTCTCTTTTTTTATTTTCTTGAAATACCACAACGGAGTCAAGCATGTCAAAGGATGAGCACACCTACAATGGATGCTACCAGCGGAACGACGAATCCTTTAGTTTTCTTCGTCTCTTGACATGAAGATGATAGAAAAAGACCTGGATTTCCGCTCACGCTTGTTATTACAAAACGTTAGGGCGAAAGCAAGAATTCCGGTAAGCGAACTATACATATATGATGAATCTTATTTTTCAAGAAAATGGACAAGCATTGGTTCAGTAATATGTGCAAACCTTAGCTTAAGTGATCCAGTTCTTGATCTCTCCAGTAGTTTTGGCGGAACCAAGCCCGTTAATTGGTTTCCTTCCAAGTTTCTGCAAAAGTACACACAGAATCCATATGAGTACCACACCAATGAGCTTAAATGAAGTTTATGTTCGAGTTGATATGACTTACAGCTCATTTAAACTCGGTAAATAGGCGAAGCAATCAAGTATGTTTCCTTTTAAGCGGTTGTTTGACAAATCCCTGTAACAAAAGATTGATTTGAGTTCACAAACTCTTTACTCTCTTCAATGTTCATAGCATCAAACAAATAAATACTGACAATTTCTGAATTGATGTCAGGTTGCAGAAGGCTGGATCGATCAGACCAGACAGTCTGCTGAAGGATAAGTTCCTGAAACTCACCAATGTTATCTTAGCAACATGTAAAAATACTGAAAACACAGAACAAAGATGAGTTTAGCAAGATTCTCACAGAGAAACGATTCTCGGAGGATTCTGATCACAGTCAAGACCTTCCCAAGAATAATCTACATAAACACATGGATCTCCTTGCCAATTCTTCTTTAGTTTGTAAATGGTCTTAATCTTCCTAATGGCATCAACTAAGGCAAATGAAAACAACTTAATCGTCTTCTGCTAAGTAAATTGTTCAATTTTTCAACATAAGAGAGAAAATTATTCGTTACCATCTAGTTGATGAGTAGGTGACTGAAGAAACTCATTGACTTGATAGGCCTCAATGGCGTTGATGATCGGTTGAAGGGTCGATCTATTAGTTGGTCTAATAGAAATCTCGATTCTTGATCCGCTCGCGGGGTTCTTGGTGGAAAGTGTATCTGTAAACAAGAAGCGAGGACTAAATACAATGGGTTCTATTGGTTCACCATTCACCAATATAGTGAACTCTCTGGTCTCATTTCTCTGCAGCTCAACAATTTCAGCAAAGTGCATGAATATATAAAACTTCCCCTTAGGATCTTTTGGTTCAAGCAACATATTGATATACTGGATTGCTTTTCTTGGTGCATTTGCGGTTCTCATGACAATAAGAGGAGGTTGAAAGCTATTGTTGATATTTTGATCTATTGCGAGCGGCGTGTTCAATGTAGTGAAATTTTCCAATTGTCGCGGTGTCCATAAGCGGTCATAAGCATCATCTTTGTACCTAAATTATGAACATACATTAAGTAGCTAATGATTTGAAACTAACAAAACAGAGCTTAAAGACAACTCACCTGACAGAATCATTACTTATTGATCCCACATCACGTCTTGCAACAAGCATAAGTTTATCATAAGGAGTCTCATACATATTACTCTTTAAAAGCCTGAGCTCTAAGACAGATATAAATGCTGTTCCTCTGCCTTTATCAACAAGACACACATGGACATGGTCTGAACCAAGAGTGTAGATGATCTCTTTGGTTACAATCGTAGTTGCATTATCTATTGTAACAGAATCCCAGAGATTGACCCCAAGATAAAGATCAAACTCAGGTGCTTTGTCGAGAGTGTCGTAGTTTCCATACATGAAACGAGCTCTGATCAAATACTTAGAACCTTTTCCTTGTAGAGGCTTAACATCGTAACAATTTCTTTTGGCTTCAGGGAAGCTCCTCACGTTGTTGAACTGAATCTCAAGAGAGCTTGTCTGGAACTTAGGATCTATGCTACTACTTGTCCCTGATTCAACGAATTCAGAATCTGAAATGTAATTTATATCTGTTTTTTCATCACGGTACCTCGAACCATCTGGTAGCCCGCAGTCAATACTCACAAATCCTGGAAAAGACGTACACAAACATAGAAATAAGAGATTTATGTACATTTGAAGAGTCAACACAAGCAAAGACCATTAAGTTATGTACCTGATTGGTCTTGAGCTTGAACACAAAAACGACCAACAAAGCTTATGTATGTAACCAACAAAAGAAAGTGGAAGAGAGCCATAAAATTTCTCATAGATTTAAAGATATTCTCTTCTGTATTATATAGAAGCAAAATAACCAATAGCATATGAAATAGTCAACTCTTTTTTGTTTTGTTTAAGACTATTCTAAATCCATGTTGTCCTATATTTAAATCACCGCTATAGATCATAAGTTAATCACTAATCAGCATGATCAAGTTCATAGACATTTTCTGAAGATTTCTTCTGCTGAATACTGCATCAAACCACTAGGCATTTTAAAACCAATTCAATTAACGATTGGTCAACAGGTTAAAGAATTGTTGTTTTAATTAGTATTCATTACAGAACTAATGACTGTTTCAATGGCTTCGATCTGGATAACTATATAACATAAGAAATTGGATAAGAAACATGACACATTAGCATGGACTGGATTTGGTATAGATTACTGAAAATAACTTGGAGACAAGCTTCCGGAAAAAGATACATATTTCTAACATCACCTAAAAATCAGAATTGCATAACAGAAACAAGAGGGTATTTTCAAAATTCTCACACATAACTTTAGTGGACGTTGATTCCCTTTAATAACTTTTTTCTAGTACCACGTAACATTAAACACATCAGTTATAACCATCTTCATAATAGGTTACATAGTGAGCCCGTCACATTTCTTATGTCTTTTCTCTGAAGGTATTTGCATACATAGAAGCTCTAGGATCTCATCTCCAGGTTTGTCCTTGAAGTTCTTACATCAAGATATGAAAAGTAGTTTTCTATAAACTAGCAAGTCACACATGATCATACTGTTATAGTGCATAGCCATGCCTACTTAACCATTTGCGCTCTCTTTGTGACCTTTTGCTTCTCTAGCTATATTTGTTTAATTTTGCCTTAATAAGAAGCGCCTTTTCTAAAGTTTAATTACCCTAAGAAGCCAGTCACAGACTCACAGGTTATGTACTTTGTGTTTATCAGAATGATAGATATTCAATTGAAGAATCTAAACGAGCATGCCGTGAAAGGAGTTAACATCTCCAAATGAGCTTATCATACAATTGGGATATCCTCATCAAATACATCTTACTATGGCTCGCAGTTCACAACCGATTAGCAACTGGAGATCGAATCAAAAACTGGAACTCGGGACAACGGAGTGAGTGTGTTCTTTGTGAAAACTTTTGAGGAGACAAGGGACCACTTGTTCTTCTCTTGCTCATATTCGGCTGGAGTTTGGAAGGATTTAACACAGAGTCTTCACTACTCCACGGACTGGAGCCAATTGGTTGCTTTGCTTGATAACCAAACCACCCCCACGACTCCGTCTCTTTCTGATCAGGTATGTATTCCAAGCCACTATCTACCATATATGGCATGAGAGGAATGCAATCTCCACAAGCTCGACTTATAAAACTCATCGACAAGAATGTTCGCAATCGCCAAACCTCAATCAAAGACGTGGGAGACCATCGCTATGATGACAGCCTAAGGCTGTGGTTCTCCATTCGGCCAACTCAGTAAACAAGCTCTCTTTTTGCTCTCAATGTACCTTTTCAAATGTTTTCAAAACACTGAAGCATTCATTGTACAAAAGGTTTTTGGTTGAATATTATTTTACATTCAATTCAAAAAAAAAAAAAAACATCAATCTTGAAAGTTTAGTTTAGTAACCAAATTTGTTCTCCAGTTTCATTTTGTTTGGTTTTTCAATGCACTTTTGTATAGTTCAATCTCTTACAAAATAAACAACATCAAACGATCATCATCACACACACATCAACAAATCATTTACCTCGGCTGAGGAACTATTCTCGAGTCAAAATCCATCGACACCATAATCGTAGAATCTTCAGGACTAATATCGTTGGAACCACCACCACCAGCTCTTGCTCTGTTTACACTCTCCTTCAGCTCAGCCACTACTTGACTCATTGTCGGCCTATTAACAGAACTTTGAGATGCACAAGCCATTGCTACTTCCGTGATCTTCCAGGCCAAGCCAGCATCGAACTTCCCCTCTAGCCTCGGATCCACGATGCTTCTGATGTCCCCTTTGGACAGCAACAATCCGACCCAGTTGCTTATGTGTCTGTTCTCTGTTGTTCTTGAATGTGTAAATACAGGTTGGCCAGTGACTACCTGTAGAAGAACCATCCCAAAACTGTATACATCACTCTTCTCGCTTAGTTGTTGCGTTGCATGGTACCTTCATTATAAGAAAAATGATCACAAACCATAACATTAGACACGAAAACATAGTAGAAACACAAGAATAAAGACGTCGGCAGTTTTTAAAGTTAGAGCAAAGAGCTTTACTCAGGGTCGAGATAACCAATAGTCCCAGCAACAGCGGTTGAGACCTGGCTTCCACCTTCCAGTGCAACGCTTCTAGATAATCCAAAGTCAGCAATTTTGGCCTGGAGCTTTTCGTTAAGCAGAATATTAGCCGGTTTCACATCTCTTTGAACTATGGGAGGGTTGCAGCCATTGTGGAGATACTCAAGCCCTGGGTTTGTTTCAAATAAACCAAAAAAATTCATGTCATTGACTATCACATCCCTCATTCCCTTGGTGCAAGTATTTTCAATAAATGTTTTGACAAACCTTGTGCTGCATCTAGTGATATTTGTAACCTCTCCTCTCAGCTCAGTATACTTATGTTTTTCCCTTCATTATACAAAACCCATTAGGGAAAAAATTTCCCCTGTTCGAACTAATAGGACTGATCAAAAGTGCAAAAGACTAACCTGACAAGTAGTCTCCCAAGGTCCCATTAGCCATATACTCGTAGATTAGTGCCATATGCTTGCCTTCGTTGCAGTATCCGATAAGAACAGTCAAGTTCTTGTGATGAACTCTCAAGAGAAGTTCGACCTGATGATAAGCAAGTTAATATATATCTTTAGTCACCGTACACAATTGACAAAGACTGAATCTTTAAAAGCACAAGAGAGTGACCTCTGCTCGAAACTCTTTGTACCCTTGAGACGACGATTCAGAGAGCATTTTGACTGCGACTTGGTTTCCATTTAGGACTCCATAGTACACTTTTCCAAAACCTCCTTGACCAAGAACTCTCTCGAAATTTTATGTTACTCCCACAACTTCTGAATATTTGTAGTATCGCTTCGTTGAGTCCAAGGGACCAGTCTTGATACCAGTGGTACCTGTAAAGATCTCAAGTTAAGTTTTGTTACAAAACATCCTAGCAGGGTAAGCATTTTGTTTATGTTTTACCATTTTGATATCTCTTCTTGAATAGCCAAAACAAAGCTACTGCAGTTAAAAGAACAAGCAATCCTGCTAGGGATGCTACTAATGGAATGATGTATCCTCTCTTCTCTTCCTTCTTCATTGTATTTTGAGATGAAGCAGATACGCAAGGGTCTGGATTCTCTATCTTCTTCGTCATATTTATCCCCTCAAGTCTATGATCAAAATGTAGAAACGTAAATCATTTTTGTAGCAACAGATCTGCAATGCATACAAGCTTATAAAAGAAAAATACCTTAGCAACAGCGATCCGTCATTTGATCTTTCCAGTAGTTTTACCGGAAAGGGGCCGGATAACTGGTTTCCTTCTAAGTTTCTACAGAAATTAAGATGCAATCAACATAGATTTTCCAAGTCATAACTGATACCATTGGTCCAATAATCTACAACTCCAGTTAGCATAACTTACAATTCCATCAAATCCGGTAAATCAGCAAGAAACTCGGGTACTTTTCCCGTTAAACTGTTGTTTGACAGGTCCCTAAAATAAAATTTTGTTAGCGTGTGAATGATCTCTTTGGTACTTATCATAGTTGTATTATCTATTTTAACAGAATCCCAGAGATTAACACCAAGATAATTAAAGATCAAACACGGGTGCTTTCCCTAGATTATCGTAGTTACCATACATGAAACGGGTTCTGATCAAATACTTGAAGCCTTTCCCTCGTGTAGGCTTCACCTCATAACAGTTTCTCTTTCCTTCAGGGAAACTCCTAACACTGTAGAACTGTTTCTCAAGAGAGTTTATCTGAAACTCAGGACCTATGCTATGATTTGTCCCGGACTCGACAAATGCTGCATCTGAAATGTACTTTATGTTTGTTGTCTCGTCATTGTAGCTTGAATCTTCCGGTATACCACAATCTATACTGACAAAACCTGTAAAACACACACACACATATGAAATTCTTATACAAAACATATATAAACGTAAACAATATATTAAGAATATCCTCAAGGCAAAGTACACAACGGATTGGCAAACCCTTATAAACAATGTTTCAGATTTGCAACATAATCGTGTTGAAAGTTTCCTAGCACTATATGTTCTACAAGCATCGGTTTATACAATATGGAGAGATCGAAATGGAAGAAGACATGGGGACATGCCGAATCCAGCAACTCGACTCATCGGTTGGATTCGATAAGCAAGTTCAAAACATGCTTTCATCGATCAGAAGAATGGGGTGATAGACGATATGATGAAGGGCTTCGAATGTGGTTTGATTCTAGAGTTTAAAACACTATTGCTTTTAAATTTTCAGCATTATATTATCAGCTTGTAAAAAAGTTATATTTTTCTTTTGAATATAATTTAACATTATATTAAAAAAAAAATAAGAACTAAACCATTGTCTAAAGTCTACCTGATTGGTCTTGAGCACAAACAAGAACAATGGCAACAACAAAGCTTGCAAAAGAAACTAGCGGAAGAAAGTTGAAATGCCCCATCAGTCACAATTCTCAAACAATTTCTCTTAGATTCAAATTAAACCTTATATATGCAAAGCTTGTTCTTCAATAGACATGTTGCCTACAGGTGAACCACCTTCTCTGAAAGCATATACCATAAGCCAAAAGGGTATCTTGTGGTTTTATGAGAGTTTCTTTAATATAATGTCAACGACTTACGAAAGTTTGTATCCACAACAATTTCCAAGTGGGATGATTTTTCAACGTTATTTTCTATTAGCAAACAAAAGTCTCCAGCTTGGCGCTTATATATATGCATAACATTTGAGAAATGGGTAGTGACATTAACAAGTTAATAAGATCATTCTCCTTCTACGTAATAACATATGCCTTAGAAGATTCTTGAACTATTTGAACCGATTAACCAGTGGATTAATTATCTCGAAAGAGCAACGTGGATGGTAAAACAAAAGGAGGTTACCGTAAGGAAATATCTTCGTCAAGTTAGAATTACCAGTGATAGTGCCATTGATCAGCCTTGTCGTCCAAAAGATCTGCAACATCAGAGCTCCATTTTCAAAGATATTCGTTAGTTTTGAAGCATAATGCAGAGACGTAATTGCATCACGGAAGCCAAACCTGAGGATATAGACATCATCTTCTTTACGTGTTACTTAAGAAATCACCTTGTGCACAAATATCGTCGTCTGAATCGTGGCCACTATATATCACCATGTTTAAGCTTGTACAATAGTCTCTTCATCATCATATTCACCGATCAAAAACCCTAAATTTCGAACTCAAATCAAGTCATCGTTCGAACGCAAAACCTAGGAAAGAAAAATGTTCAAATAGTGTTCATTTATACCTGACAGGAAGATCACCGAGCCCCCCAAGATCCCATCTTTTAAACAGCATAAGTGAATCATAAGGAGTCTCGTATGTATCACTCTTCAGGAGCCTGAGTTCTAACACAGACAAGAATGGAGTTCCTTTTTCTTTAGCAACAAGACACACATGAACATGGTCCGAACGAAGGGTGTGGATGATCTCTTTTGTAACTATCGTTGTTGCATTATCTATACTAACAGAATCCCAGAGATTGACACCAAGATAAAGATCGAACTCAGGTGCTTTCCCTAGTTTATCGTAGTTACCGTACATGAAACGTGTTCTGATCAAATACTTGAAGCCTTTTCCCCGCGGAGGCTGGATTTCGTAACAGTTTCTCTTGCCTTCAGGGAAACACCTAACGTTTTGAAACTGCTTCTCAAGAGAACTTGTTTGAAACTCAGGATCTATATTATGAATTGTCCCGGACTCAACAAAAGCAGCATCTGAAACATACTTAATGTCTGTTGTTTCATCATTATAGCTTGAATCCTCAGGTATACCACAATCTATACTGACAAAACCTGTAAAGAAAAAAAAAACACAGAGAGAGATTAAAGAAAAACACAGCCATATTTGTATATTTGCAAGACTTTATGTACCTGATTGGTCTTGAGCACGAACAAGAAGAACAAAAACAACGAAGAAGCTTGCGAATGAAATCAGCGGGAGAAAGTTGTAGTGCACCATTACTGAAAAAAAAAGCTCTTGATCTCATAAAAATTTCAACATAAGCCTCTTCTACAATGTTAAAGCAAAACTTGTTTCTTGCTCCAATACTTCTGACTCTAAAAGATTATATTATAACCATGTTGGCTGATGGTGAAGCACTATCTCTTGAACTCAAAATACTAAAAAAAAAACAAATCTCAAGTCAAAAGAACAAGTTCGGATATTCGAAGAGTTTCCTTCTATTCGTAGACAAGGACGACTTTAGGTAGTCTTTTGTCAGTTGACAAATCTTCAAGTGGGCTAATTGTTTAAAACCAAAGAATGAGTTCTCATGATTAGCTGACAATGAAAGTTTCAAACTTGAGTTTGTGGATAACATAAAGAAACTACAAGTGACATAAAACAAAGTTAAAAATCAATATCCCAACATGGCAACATGAATCAGGTGAAACAATAACAGTAGCTGAAAAATTCTTGACACTATTGGAACTTGTAGACTATCACATCTGATCTAGAATCAATATTTGTAGAAAATTTAACAGAGTTAAGAAACAAAAAGAAGATATAAATCCTCTTTAACCCTTAAAAGGAAACATGCATTGTGTTTAAAACATCACATAAAGATGTTACAGTTTCAACAACATCCTCTGAGTCTGACCTAATCAGTGGGGTAGGCTCAGCATCATCAGCTCTATTGTCACTTCCTGTGACTGGCTCATTTGTGTAGACTACTATACTGATGATGGAGCTGGTTGATGATCATGTAGCTGTGGTGATTCTGAATGATGATCGATCACTCTCTTGCGATAGCGGCGGGTTTTGGTCTTTCCAGGTTCGATACGTCCTTTGAAGATGGTTGCCAGTTTATCAGCGTGAGGAATATGTCTCCATCTGAACACTGCAGCTTTTTTATTTACCTATAAATGATAAATCGACAAAAAAAAAATATAATTACCAATTGATATTGTAAAAAATCTAAGTAACATTTTCTTTACCTTCAAGTATGTATCCCAGTCCTCTTCAGTTGCACCAAACTTGCGAGTATTAGCATCCCACTTCATGATGGGAGAGGCAATAGTTTTACACCAGTTCTTCCAAGATGTTCTGGTACGTTCGAAGTGGCTTTCGAGCTGCTTATGTGTGTATCCTACTCCTGTGATCCGATTGATTTCCTCAAGAATCATTTTCCAAGCTTCCTTTGTATAACGTTGGTTACGTCTGGTTGGTGTGGTTCCTTTTATAGACTCTTGGAAACATACGTCCACAAAAATCGCATGTGAGGATGGTGGCCACTTAAACCGACGACGAATTGCGATATCAGACGCGCTTAGCTTAGATTTATATCCGTTATCATTTTCTTCATCATGATGCTCACATAATTGCTTCATTTTGCTACCTGAAGACGTACCTTCACCATCTAAGTTAATACCAGCAAAGATGATCTCTAGTTTCTTGAGGAACAAGGGAGGATTACACCGATACTGTCCAGCCTCAAGATTCATCTGTGACAAATCCAATTAAGTACTTTTTATTACATATTTATTAGCCTTCATAAACAATCAATATATCAAACACACAAAAAGATGACTTTGTTTGTACCTCTAAATAGTTGGCCCATTCTTGATCACTGGCACCAAACGTGTTTGTGTGGAGATCCCATTTCATATCTTTGCGTTGAACAAGTCTACACCAAATCTTCCACTGCTTGATCATTGTATCCCAACGATTCATAAGCTGGTCTTTGGTAAACCTCACACCCTTCATTTCTTTAAAAGCTTCCAATATATGTTGCATTTCAGGTTGATTCCCCAACATCTTTTGCTCCACACAGAAGTCCACAAATACTTGTTCGTGTTCAGGTTCCCATGCGGCTTTGGACGTCATAATTCTTTACTATATGCATAGTTAGATAAGTAAAGACAACAAAAAACAAAAAAAGAATTAGATAAGTAAAGACAACAACAACAACAAAAAATAATAATATATATTTCCAAATTATATCAATATCATATTAAAGGCTTAATTTGACCGGTAATTCCGTTAAAATCACAGGAAAAAATACAAAAGAAAAATGGCGCGAATCGTGATATGATTGGTTAAAATCTCATAGGATCGCGAAATGATTTTGTCATTCCGTGGTTTGTCAAAACACAAAACAGTAACCAAATCTATACAAAATATACATCCAAATATGTATGGGAATTTTTACATCATGGCTGAATCTACAACTAACCTTAGGACTTATCAATTCCAAAATTTTACATCATGGCTAAAATTTTGGCTTTTGCACTGCTAGAGATGGGGATTTCTTGTTTTTTTCTGAGATTATTAGGCTTCTAAGGGCCCTAATTTATACTGGTTTGAGTGGGTTCTCTAATCGGAAAATTTTTAATTGGCATTGACCGATTTTAATTTGTTTCAAGAAAAAATTGATTTATCTTCCTTTTTACTAATTGAGAAGATAGTCAAATTATAAAGTTTAATTAGGAGTTACCATAAGTTTACTAGCGATATTAGTTTTTTTTTGTTTTCTAATAAGATATATAAATGAGTTTGGGGACGAAATTTGAGAAAAAAAAAACACATTTATTGTTTATATTACACATTTTTTAATTAATTTGACTGCCGTTTTTTTAATTACACACTAATGAGTTTACGGCGAAATTTGAAAAATACATGTTATATGTTGGGTTTGATTGGTGAACAAAATAAAGTATTACAAGTAGTACAGTTTTTATTTTTACTAATTACAAAAACTTTATCAAAAGCGTTACTGAAAGTTTTACTTTCAGCTTATTTGTAAAGCTCTTTCATACAGCTTTGTACTATTCCAATAAAGCTTACAGCTCCAACTAACAGCTAAAAAACTTGTACAGTAGTTTTTAGTTACCAGTCGGACCCGTTATGTTGTTTACTTAGATTAATTATTATGAGTGTATTTATTGTTATGTAGATATTGCATGTTCTTGTTCATACATTTGCAGGACATGTCACTGGTCTTTTGTCAATCAATTTTGTCCCACTTACATAAAATATTTTCAATGCCCTGACATTGTTTCCATCTAATCAGTAGCTATAAAGGAAACTAATTGGTATTGTTGTAGATGGAAGAAAGATACAAAATCATTGAATAGGAATATGAGAGGTCTTTTTCTTGTGTTAGTCTAGTGAGGCCATAATATTTAGCCTATGACTTCGTTACCTGAGAGCTAAACAGGTTATAAAAGGAAGTGTGGCAGAATTAGTTGGGCATGCCAGACTTGGCTAGTGTTTTGGTTGAACATTGGTGGGTCGAGAGGTTGAATAATTCTTTTGTTAGTCAAAATCGTCTCTCTATGTGTAGTTCTTTGGCAGATTGAATAAAGAACAGTTTTACTGGTTTTGATTTCTATCAGCGTCATGATTGTTTCCATTTAGCTAGAAGAGAAGGCCAGGGACTTGTTCCTCATATACTCTCAAGTAGCAACAAACCTTCTCATCAAAGGAAAGTCGTTGAAAGGAGATTTCAGATCGCGTTTCAGCTCGACGTTTTCGTGATACTCAAGCGCTCGCTGCTCTTGTCTTTTTGTTCAACTAAATGATTATGTTGTCGTATATATATAACCATTTATCTTATTCAGAAGCTATTGCTATAACATTTCAGAATCTTCTTTATATGATGTGCCGAAGGACAAGGTAGGGAAGAAAACAGTGCAAATTAAAGAACCGAGTTGATGCTAATGAGAATGAGAACGTAGTTGGTCCTGAAGCAGTGAACCAATGGTGGGGAATAGTGAAGGAGATTCAGATTATTGTTTTTGGATTCATAAATCATAACTTCACTATTTCCTGGCTTCCACAACATATATTAGATGTATCATCAAAATCCTTTTTTAACACAAGAACTTGAACAAGTATTTCCTTGTAATCTAGGCTTTATCTCAATGTAAATCAATGTACAAAAATATGAATGAGTTTTCCTCTACACATTTAGAACTAACCATGCACACTTCGATTGAAAACAGAAAGTTTACTCTTTTTCTTATATTCTAAAATATTACATCAATGATTTGATCACAAGCTACTGGAGGATATCAGCCTTAAACCTCTGGTCTGTCACTTCCTTGGATATATATCTCATTAGGGTTTCCTTGAATTGACTTCATTCGAATGTGTTTGTTCTTTCCACATGGTGATTTTCCGATGCACAGAGTCTATTATTATAATGACTAGCTAAGTAGAGCTTCAAAAATCGGAACGATGATTGTCTCAGTATGAGGCTGGGGAAGCGGGTAGGGTACACCAGCTGAGGTTTTTTCATCACTACCTAAGGAGATAAAGGTTACTTGTTGTTCAAGAAGACTCCAAAATCTGTAACACTTACATTGAACTTATAGCGACAAAATGTTCGCCTCAGTCAAATATTAGCAGAGTGAGATATAGAAGCACAAAAAATAAGAATTCTAGAACAAGAAGTAGCCATACTCTCTCAAATCATAATAAGCTAATATATTGAAAACAAAGATTAAGAATTTTATATCTTACACTGTTGAGTTCTAGGTTACTCTCCAAAGATTTGATTTAATTCAACCACAAGCACTTTCTTATAGAAGAAGAAAGACTAACCTTGATCCATTTATTAATTAGGCTTGTAATGGAATCAGTTCACCAATTGAATTTCTCCTCCCTTTGACCTCTTTCTTCAATTGATTCCTTTAATGGAGAAGGAATCTAAAACCTTCTTCTATATATTTCTATATATGTACCTTCACCGACACGTTATTGTGGTATTTATTCACTTTCTTAATTAATTGTGTCTAAATGACACAAATGAACCCACGTAACTCTTCATAATAACTGTCACTTACGTACCCATATATCTTATATAATATGACAAGGTTTTCAAGGTTTTTTTTGAAGAAGCTTTATTATCATGCCTCCTATGCATCTGACATGTGTCCCTCTCCAATTAATAGTAGTTAGTGGTGATTAATTTGTAAGACAATTTCGTCTATATTTAAATTGAAAGCTGTATTTTTAGTAAAATTATAACTAAATTCGAAAATTGAGAGAAAAATTCAAAATAATATTAATTATCCTTATAATTATTTTTTATTTTTAATTATAATTTTGAAATCTTATTATATAAAGTATGGTTTTCAAAGTTAATAACTCATAGGATCGTGCCATGTGTCAAATTATCGATCTCAGATTTTGACACGTGTTAAAAAAAATTTCTTTTTATTTATTTTTAAAAACATATGAGGAAACTATACGCACATATCAAATTTAGTAACGTGTAAAACCAAAAAAAGATTTGTTTAGAAAAAAATTTATATCTTATGTATACTTTAAAACTTTAAAATCTAGATGTATCTTATGAAATAAAAATAGAAATTTAAGAAAAACAATTATAAGGAAACTATACGTATATATCTTATAAAAACAATTTTTAAAAACTAAAGAAGACAATTATAAGGAAACTATATGTATCTTATTAAATAAAAATAGAAATTAAAAAATTATTTACTAATTCTAATTCTACTAATTCTAAAAGAAAAAGATTACTTTTTCCTTAAAATTACAAATTTTTTCCGTAAAATTACAAATTCCTTAAAGATTATTTTTTAGTTTTCGTTTGGAAAATCCCTTTTTCTATTTCTAATTAAAATTACAAATTTCTATATGTAAAATGACAATTTCGTCTATATTTAAATTGAAACCTGTATTTTTAGTTAAATTATAACTAAATTCGAAAATTGAGAGAAAAATTCAAAACAATATTAGTTATCCTTATAATTATTTTTTGAGATAAAGATAGTTTATTTATTTTATATATTAAATTTAATAAGATAATATCTAAAAATATTAAAAAGTCTATAAAGTCTAGAGAAATTATTAAAAATGCCCTTTTTTCAATACCCCTTTTCAAAAATACCCCCTTTGAGAGTCCATTTTTAAGTTTGCCCTCTTTTAATTTTTAATGACCATTTTACCCTTATTTGAAACAAAATTAGGTCCACAAAATACAAAATATTTTTTGGCGGGAAAAGTGATCCCGCAATTTTCCCGCCAAAACACTTGTAAAAACCTTTAAAAAATCTTGTAAAATTTTCCCGTAAAAATTTTTCCCGCCAAAAAATTTTTTTTGCGGGAAAAGTGATTCCGCAATTTTTTTTGCGAAATTTTTTTGGCGGGAAAATTTTTGGTGGGAAAAATTTACAAGGTATTTTAAAGGTTTTACAGAGTATTTACAAGTGTTTTGTAAGGTTTTACAATGTATTTTAAAAGGTTTTACAAGGTACTTATAAGGTTTTATAAGGTATTTATAACTTGTAAAACCTTATTAAAAACTTGTAAAACCTTATAACTTGTAAAAACCTTATAAAATAGCTTGTAAAATCTTATAATATCTTATAAATACCTTGTAAATACGTTGTAAAACCTTTTAAAATATATTGTAAAACCTTGTAAAAAACCTTTAAAATACCTTGTAAATTTTTGGCGGGAAAAATTTTTCCGCCAAAAATTTAACGCCAAAAAAATTGCGGAATCACTTTTCCCGCAAAAAAAATTTTTTGGCGGGAAAATTTTTTGGCGGGAAAAAGTTTTACGGGAAAATTTTACAAGGTATTTTAAAGGTTTTTTACAAGTTTTTACAAGTGTTTTGGCGGGAAAAATTGCGGGATCACTTTTCCCGCCAAAAAATATTTTGTATTTTGTGGACCTAATTTTGTTATATTTCCTTATATATTTGTGAGATCTTTTATAAAAAGAAGGGTAATTTAGTCATTTTGTACATAAAAAAGGGTATTTTTAAAAATGGACAGCCAAAGGGGGCATTTTTGAAAAGGGGTATTAAAAAAGGGGCATTTTTGTGAGTCTCCCTAAAGTCTATCCCTTAGTATTGTATAAACAAAAAAAATCTCAACGTAACAATCAAATTCTTCAACTCCAAAGTCTGCTCCACAGTCTACATTGGTAGAATGATGTAATATACATGTATCATTGATTAAATCAACGTACGGCTTATAACTCTAACATAGTATTCTTTTTTTTTTATTTACATGTGTTATCGATTAGAGATGGAGTACCAAAAACTAATGAAAATCCAATCAAACGTAATTTTAGTCAAGAGATTTTAAAAGTAATGATGAACTATTAAATTTTAATCAAATGTAGGAACATGATTCACTTGATAGGTGAATTCAAAATTATTTTAGATTGTTTTAAAATAAATATTTAAGATAAGAATTATTAAAATTGTTAGTTATTTCAAATATTAATTTCAAAACTAAATTAATAGAATTTCTGTTTTATGTATAATTTCTTTTTAATTAATATTAAATTTCACTGAAGCCATTTTAGTAATTTAATATATTAA